CAAGAAGCTGTTTTTGGGAACATGTGTTCCCTGACAGGAGCGCCCCCTATTGCCACACACACACACACACACCTGCACACGCGCACGCACACACACACGCGCGCACGCACATGCGCAAGTGCACACGTGCACACACGCGAACACACTCACACACACACACACATGCACACAAATACACAACCACACAAGAACACACGCACAAACAAACACATGAACACACAAACACACAAACCCGCAAACCGGCAACCCCACAAACCCGCACTACCACGCAAACGCACACGCGCACGAAACCCGGACAATCCCGTACACCGGCACACCTGGACACCTGCACACCCGCAAATCCGCACACGCGTGCACCCGCACATCTACACGCGCACGCACAGGCGCAAGCAAGAGGATTTGTTGGCAACACACGTCACTTTCCAAATTTGGTTTTAGAGGAAGCGGACGGTAGCTGCCGATGTGGATGGCCCGGCCGCCAGGGAAGGCACGACTCATAACCCCCAAATGCGGATGTCTCATGTCCAGAACCCCAAGAGAAAGCGGAGATATCTTCTGGTTCACCACCGGTCTTCTCAAACCCCAGCCGTTTCCACCGGGTCTTGGGCGGTGAAATCCTTGGATTTCAGACTCGAGGAAGTCGGGGCTGAACTGGATCGGGCAGCTGGCGGCGGCCACTGCCATCTTCAAGCTGGTGGCCACCTTGTTCCCATCCATTGAGAAGGACCTTACATTGTTCCGAAATAAGGGAAAAATGCGGAAACAATGGATGGTTCAACCTTGGTCCATTGGCCACATTGTTCCGTGGCTTAGAAATAACCAGCTAGGAAAAACGCAGGTTTTATTTAGTTTTTCCCCATTTTGGATACCCAGCCAAACTGGGAAAAACCCGGACAAGTGACAACGAACTTTGAGGTTCGGGGGTAAAACGAGATCCGTGATGAAGGTCTCTATCTGAGATGTGTTTTTGAAACAGAAGCCAAAGAGAATTTGACGAAGACCCGCGTGTGACTTGACCCATAGACTGAGGAGCAACGGCATGATGAAGGATTCCTTCATTGATGTGGGTTTGTTTGCTTGCGTGCTTGCTTATATGTTTGTTTGTTTGTTTGTTTGTTTGTTTGTTTGTTTGTTCGTTCGTTTGTTTCTTTGCTTGTTGATTGTTTTTGTTCTTGTGTCTTTTTTGCTTGTTTGCTTGCTTGCCTGCTTGCTTGCTTGCTTGCTTGCTTGCTTGCTTGCTTGCTTGCTTGCTTGCTTGCTTGCTTGCTTGCTTGCTTGCTTGTTTGGTTGTTGTGGTTCTTTTTTGTTTGTGTTTATTGTTTGTTTTGCTTGTTTCGTTTGTGTGTTTGTTGGTTTGTTTGTTTGTTTGTTTGTTTGTTTGTTTGTTTTGCTTGTTTGCTTTGTTTGTTTGTTGGTTTGTTTGTTTGTTTGTTTATTTGCCTTGATTGATTTGATTTGATGTGAATTGAATTTGTTTTAATCTGATTTGTTTGAGATTGATCAGGCTGGATTGGAATTGGTGTGTTTGGGCTTGACTTGAATGATCGATTGATTGTTGTGATTAATTGATTGGTTGATTGGGTGACTGACTCACTGCCTGACTGACTTACCAACTCACTGACAGACAGACAGACTGACTGACTGACTCACTGATTGGTTGATTGTTTGATTGGTTGGTTGATTGGTTGGCTGGTTGGCTGATTGATTGATTGATTGATTGGTTGATATGGTTTGAGTTGATTTGACTTGAGTTGATTTGAATTGATTGGTTGGTTGGTTGATTGATTGGTTGATTTGGTGATTGGTTGGTTGATTTATTTTGGTTGGACTCGACTTGATATGATTGGTTGATTGGAATTGAGTTGTATTTGATCTGATTTGGTTGGTTGAGGATTGTTTGTTCGTCTGTCGGTTGGTCTGTCTGTTTCTGTCTTTTTTGTTTGTCTTTGTCTGTCTGTTTGTTTGTCTGTCTTTTTGTCCGTTTGTCCGTCGGTCCGTCTGTCCGTCTGTCTGTCTGTCTGTCTGTCCGTCTGTCCGTCTGTCCGTCTGTCCGTCTGTCCTCTCTCTCTCTCTGTCCGTCTGTCCGTCTGTCCGTCTGTCTTTTTGTCCGTCTGTCCGTCTGTCCGTCTGTCCGTCTGTCCGTCTGTCTGTCTGTCTGTGTCCGTTTGTCTGTCTGTCTGTCTGTCTGTCTGTCTGTCTGTCTGTCTGTCTGTCTGTCTGTCTGTCTGTCTGTCTGTTCGGCTGCGTTCATGCTTGTGTATGTGTTGTTTGTTGGTTTGATTGATTTTACATGCGCGTTTTCATTGATTTTACATGCAAGGCGGATTTCGTCCATTGGAGTCAGGACAGCCTGCGTCTGTTCATGCAGCTTCCCTGGCTGGGACTGGGCTGGAAGGACTCCGAACTGGATCCTTTGATGCCCTGACGCGAGGCTTGACATCTCATGCCATCTCCAAGCCGGCGGACTGGGCTTTGTAAGAACTCCAGCGGGATTTGTTTTGTGGATGGGCTGTGACTCGCCCTGGTTTTGTGGATTTGTTTTGTGGATGACTGGTTTTGTGGATGTTTTGTGGATAACCCTGTTGGTAGACTCCAAAGTTAATCTTCCACTGAGGGAACAGAGAACTTGCTCCTCGCTCGCCCGTCGCTTGTAGACTTGCCAGCCGATGTGTTCATCGTTGGACTTTGCGAGCTACGCGACGCGCGAAAAAGAGCGCACACGCTTCTGCTGGGAAAACCGAACCGCAGGTTTTCGTCATTGTTTCCATTTACCGGTGTGCCATTGTGGGTACCTATTGTTGACCCACAGCCAATTCAATTGCTCACCGGCCCGAGGAGTCCCAGTACCCCCACTGTGCGGAGGTACTTGCCTAAACACTATCCTCAAACGCGACCGACCGGGGGACGCTGGCAATGTCTGACGTTTGAAGGAGTCGGTGCTTGCCCGGACAGGAATGAATGCGCTCGAGCTCAGGGTTGAAGAACCAAAGGTAGGCGAGTTCTGTTTTTGGGGCGGAAAACCAAGGGAAACCACGCGCATGTTTTCCTTTTAAAGGGGGGGATGTCCCCCTTTTTTCATGGCGCACCCCGACTTCTCTCCCCGTTTCAAGAGACTGTCACCACCTTCTCATCTCATCTTGCCGTCTGTTCGCAGTGCTCAAGTTCTACAGTAGGTCTACAAGCGGGCCGGGTGTGGAATCTCCCTCCCTTCCCGCTTTCCACTCTGCTTCAAAGTCGGGTCGTGAGCTTGTTCCGTCGAGTTTGCCTTTCAGAATTTCACTTTGTTGTGGCATCTAAAATACAAAAATGTTAAGCTAATTCTACGCGATATGGTCATTGTAATTAGTATGAAAGTGTGGCGATTGCGAATGACATGATTGTCAAATTGGTGAACCCCTGGAACATCTTCTAACGATAACAAAGGTTTGGTTTGCCCACGACACTGCCCCCGTGGCCGGCGCCATTTCTACAACATGCAGCCGCCAAAGGCGACGCGCTTCCCGAACCCCCGGGATGCTGCGTGCGCGGCCTGTGTGTGGGTCTGCCTGGTTCTGGTCTTTCTGGCCTACCTGGTTTGCGCCTCGAACCTTGAGTCTTACGGAGCCTTGCTGCACCTTCCACATCCGCATCACTGGTCATGGAATCCACACACCTGGTGTTTGATCCGATCTTTCCTCGAGTTCCTGTCGGAAATTCTGCGGGTGTGCGTGCTTTTCTGAATTTTGAACGGAAAACAAAGAAGCCGAACCCCTCGGCTCTAGGCTTTCCAAATCAATGTCAATGGTCAGTCAACCCGGTTGATTAAGAGGGGTGTTCCCCCAAAAAGTAAAGGTTCCGCTGGAATACGAGACGCCCCCGCTCCGAATCTTGAGTGCTTTCGGACGCAAACAGAAAGTCAGATGCGGGTGATGCGAGGCACCTTCCGCACGTTCCTGGTGGCCGTTCATTCGGCTCACCAGCACCGGACCTTCAACCAACGCGTGCAGACCCCGGAGGTGCGCCTGGACATCTGCGAACTCCAGGCCATGGGCGGCAGATGGGGGGGGGAGCTGAAGGCGTGGTGTCCCTGATTTGGTGCTGAAAAATGGGTTTCGCCTTTGGTCTTTGCCTTCCAAGCCCAAAACAGGTACCCTTAAAAGACACGTGCCCATTTGAGTCAACGGGCAGCAGGGGAGGTTGGTACGGTTCGGTCAGAATCGCTTGGCACATTCAAAATTAAGTAAGAGATCAACAAGTGCTTTCAGTGGAATTTGATCCGACAGCAGATGTCTGTGGCAAGAATGCTTATCCTCATGAGAGTGGATCAAACTTTTCTGTTTTTGTTTATGTGGTCAGCTTGGGAGGGACATGGGTGATGAGCCAATCAATTTTAATCCCCAAAGGGAAGAAGTGACTCGTCCCATGTCTATTGGGGGAAACCGCGCCTTTTGATAGTGGCTCATGTGAGGAGTTTGGTTGAATTTGTTAGGTCTGGTGGAACAGGGTACATGGCAGCCTCAAGGAACAACTACCTGGGCAAAGCATATCAACGCAAAGGTTTTGGTGCCCGAGCACATCCATGATGGTTCAAATGTTGAAGGACCCTTGTGGGTCAGCGGACTATTGTAATTCCCCCAAGGTTTTGGGGATCCCAAAAACCTTGGGTCAAACCATCTGTGATGTTCAGGGTGTATTTCGTCCTGGGCGATCTTTTTGGACCCCACTTCAAAGCTCCAAGCTGGATCCGAAAACGGGCCCCAAAACGACCGACCGTTTTGACCTCCCATTTTCGGGGAGTCAAAACAGGACTGGCCTCAGCTTGAAATCGGGCAAGCCTCCAGAAGGAGCAACGAGTCGGCACGCAGAAGTGCCCTTGTTCCTTGTTCCTTTGGTGTCTACGTTTGGTATTTGTTTCGGTGCTGTCTCTGTGGAAATCGATCAACCTTCAAGCGAGGCACGTGTTCATGCACCGATCCCATGACAAAAGTATTATTGATTTATAGGTCGGCTGTCTTTCAACG